TTCTAGGTTATGTTTTGAAATACAAGCAAAGTTAGTAATGTAAGAGAGTCCTTTAAGGTCACTGGATTGGTACCCTTTGACTTCTTCTTAGAAAACCATGGTTTTAGTCAATGTTATTCCAAATAAAATAGCACTGAGAGTGTGATGCTTGGGCAAGGCTGCAGATGACAGTCCAAGATCTATTGCAAAAAGGGGCAGAGCTGGTATGGGACTGGTTATTCCCCTGCATCTGCAGTGACCACCCCTGGAGGGTGAAGCAGCTCATTCTTTGGGGCTGCTCACTGCTTGACCTCATTGTTGGCATGTCAACAAGTGTGACACTTCTGGTGGGATTTGATATGACAGTGGAAATTGTATGAGGATTAACAATTAACCAGCGTGGTATATGGGTAGTAACTTGCAGTCATAACTGATTTGGGATTCATAACACCAACCCAAATACAAAATGCTTAGTGTTTTCTTTTCGGTCACAATTTAAAATGCTTTTATTTACCATGGGAGTAAGATTGAGTTCGTAATAACATTTAAATATGCTGTATTCTGTGTGGCTATGGGGAGCCATACTAATATTACTGTAGTAGGGACTCATCTTTACTCAGATTGAGAGGTGTAATGCTGATGTATAATATGTTTCAATTACAAGTATTAGCCCTTACTGGTTACATATTTGTAATTTAGACTTTTCTGCTGAAAACAAGATCACTATATTTAGTGTACATCACTTTTTTGGAAGCTATTTTTCTGTGTGGCATGTCCTCTTAACCTTTTCCATTCAGCTCCTCTGCTGTGCGGTCAGTCCGTCTTCCCTGATGGCAGGTGAGGGGCTTGTCCCTCACCCAAAGGCTGAAGCCAGCAGAGCAGCTGTACAAGTAGCATATGAAGGAGGTTGATGGTGACTGATATTTTTGATTGTTTTTTTTTTTCCTCCTGCTTTTCCTAACTGGGTGCTTTGCACGAGCTCCCTTTTCCTGCTGGGTCCCGCGATCGCGTCGCTTTGCTCGCTGTGCCGTGTCACGCACACACGCCCTGCATGCCACTTTATTTCCTACCACCTTTTTCCTGCTCTCTCTGGCTCTATCATATCCCATCTTCTTGCTGCTTTTGCCTTTTGTGATGCTAATCTTGCTTATTTTTTTTTCCCTTCTCCCTAAAAGAAAATGGAAGGAACACCCTGTGCTGCCGCTGCACTGATCGTTCCTCTGCGTTGCTGGGTTGTTTTTCTCCCATGTCCTTTGTTGAGTTTCTGGAGACTCTAAACTGTTTGAGGCAGAAACTCTCTGTTCCTGTAGGGCTGTCCAGTGTCCAGCATCCTTTGCTGTTGGATTTCATAAAAAATAGCAATACTAAAATTATTTTGACTTCATGGAACGGCCTTTCTTCTGGTTCTTTGGTAGAAAAGCAAAAAAATTTCTTACTCAGAGCTTTTCTACACTGTATTGCTGTTCTGAGGTAGATCTCAGTTTTGTCCCTCAACCCTTTGTCCCTAAAATGAGTAAAAGTTCAAGATATATTGCCTAATGTAGTGGGGATGGGGTGCATTAAGCCTTAGCTACTGCCAGAGGTTAACAGTCTTGTAACTTGGTCAAGAATGACAATAAAATGTTAACTTCAACATGTTTTAGTGGAAACTTCAGATTTGTCAACACTGAAAAATGTTCAGATTTCACCATGTTGATCAAATAAGACAGAAGGGAAAAGAAAATCCAAAAATGTGTAGTGAGTTTGGTCCAGTGCTTGGCTCTTTCCCTCCTAAATATTTTTTCATTTGAATTTTCATTTCCTTTTCACCCCTAAACTGTATAGGCTTTATAGCATAAAGAGGGGTTCTTTGTGGACATGACTTTACAGGTAGGACAAGTGAGTGGTTCAAACAACTGTTGACTGTTTTTTCTGTACACCAAGGAATACCTGGAAAAATAAAGGTAACAAACCCAGTGACTCCTTCCCTAAACATTAATCAGATGACATGAAGGATCTCAATGGGGTTGCTGCAGCTAAATGAGGGAAAAGTGGAGACAACAAAATTAATATGGCAGTATACTTCATTTGCAAAGTTTTGTCTCTAAGAGAAAAAAATGAAGCTGGTAAGGATTTGCTTGATAAAGTTTATAATTTAACTCCAGGCATTAATAGAAAAAGTTACACTGATCTTGGAAGTAGTATCACTCTAAATATATTTATATGTAAACTGCATTCTACTTTACACCTCTGACATATATTTGTGTGCATGTATTGTAGCATTCCATTAATCTTGAACCGTGGGAATAGATTGGCCACTTTTATTTTGTGGATGAGGCCAAAAGAGTGAAGAAAAAGCACATTCTTCAGTTAAAAAATAAACCAAGCTCTTTCTTAAATAAGTCATGTTTCAGTACTTACATAGTCTTCATCTCAGTAAATAATATTTGGAGGGATTCAAGAGTTGAATCAGCTGACATGCCCAAATTGCAGACCGAAATGTAGAATCAAATCCCCACATCCCTAATTTATTCCTGTTGGAATGTCCAATTTTTATAATTTCCCCACATAACCTGTATTTTTAGCTATTTTCCTTTAGAATGAGTAGCATCACTTTGGGGCTTTTGATTTGTCTTTTATGAATGTATATATACACATGGTTTTCAGGAATTCAGGTAGTAGATTTTGTTATACTGCCGGAGACGAAGGCACATTTTTAAGAGTGAGGAAGGAATTTTGTGGCTCTTGGATATTTATTTAAAATTTCCTTCTCTAGAGGTAATTACTTAAATGGATTAGCTACTTCTGCAGGTATTTTTTGATAAATACAGGTAGTACGGGACCAAAATAGTATATTTTTCAGGGAAAAGATTAGGTTTTATTCAAGAAAAATGTATCCATTTAAATATTTCATGGAAATATGACAATGTTTTGCACATTCAGGCAATATCCTATGTAGGATTATAGTAATGCATTTAGCCTTGACAAACATTAAGTCTATTTGTAAATCTTAAGAGCACTGCAGTGTTTAAAATACATTGGATATATGGTAAAGCAGAAGTTTAAGGTGAAAACAAAGCAGTACTATTGGGTTGTGTTTCTTTTTTTAAATTGAATAAATGAACGGTTTATTTGTATGGATGAGAATTTGATTCAGAAAATGCTCCTGCTAATGAGCCAAAATAAAATTAAATCTTCATAAATAGAATATTCAGTTACTGCAGTTTTGGGAACCAGGTAGGGAAATGAGAAAAGGTAATTTGAAATTATTCAAAATAAGACTAACTAAGCAGGTTTCTAAGTGGTAACTGCTTTAAATAAATACAGAATTAGATTTCTTAGGTAAATGTGCAGCTTTTGTATTTTCTGAACTCAATGTCTTTCTGGACACCTGGTCAGAACTTTGTTGTACAGTAGGTACAGGATATTTTTGCAGGCAGCTTCACAGAAATGGATGTTAGGGCACCATTCCAAAAGGCAAATAATTTCTCTCATTTCCTACTTGCTGTGTCTATATAATCTTTCTGTGACAGTTGAAGCTAACAATTATGTTGGTGTTCTTTATAAATAAAGCGATGAGGGCAACGTATAATATTTGTATTCGAGATCAATGGAAGAAAACTAATTTGAAGCAAAAAAATAATTTCAGTGAAGAATTTTCTCATAGTGTGTTTGACAGGTCATTAGGATCCAAAAAGGAGAAACAATTATGTGTGTTTTAGCTTGGTGAGAAATATCTTGGGGGATTTTGTTGCTTTTTTTTTCCTAATGAAGGTTAAGATAATTGTAATTATAGAGAAATAAGAGGTTTTACTTAAGTCACTGATTTTTTTTGCGTGTTACAAATCAGATTACTCAGTGCCCTGTAGATCTGAAGTTAACAAATGTGTGATGTATGTGAGATACACATATATATGTATGTGTGTGTGTGTGTGTATTGGTATGTGAAATAGGAGTTTCTAAACAGAAGAGGACAAAATGAGTAGGATTCTGAGGCTTACAAGTAACTCAGAATTGTGTCCCCTGGTTTTGGCTCTATAGGTGGGAATAGCTCTGACTCCTGGGGAAAAGATACAGTCGCAAAACCGAGTATTATTTGACTGATAACAGATATCAAATTTAGATTTGCTGGCTTAGAAAACCATCTCAGACTTTTTTTTATAGAGGCAATCCAAAGAGTTCTCTTAATAAATGATGGCTTTGGTCTAACTTGATTCAGCAGAAGCCATTGAATAGAGCAGAGACAGAAACCCAGGATGCTTCAGATCTCTTTCAATTAAAGAAACACCATAGGCAAAGGTTTTTGAAAATACCATAGTGGGTCATATGTGCTCAAGATGAGAGCTATGGTAAAGGGGCATTTGTAAAGGTTTTATTCCAGTTTTTGACCATAAGACAACTTTCCAGACTTACACAGCAGTATTCTGACACACCATGCCCTGAGGAGAAGAGGGACACAGTGCATGTTGCCCTCTCATGGTTCTCACAGAATGGATTCAATTTTTTGGCAAGCAGCAAATGAAACTCACCCTCATCTGTACATTTATTTGCTGCCTAAACCCAGGGATATCTTAGCCTGTGTGGATACAGAGTCAGGGCAGCAGAGTCCGGAGGCATCCAGAAGGGCCGGGAGGGGTCCCAGCCCCTCTGCCCGGGGCTGGGATGGAGGGAAGGCCCCAAGGCTCTCACCCTGGCACACTTCATGCCCCTTTCACTGGCATTTAGAAAAAGCAGTGCCCCCAAATGCCACATTGCTTCTGTAGCTGAAGGAGGGTCAGAGTTCCAGCAGGATTTGCAGGTTCATCGTGAAGGACTCTGTGAGGTTTGTAAGGGTGGCAAACACAGAACCACAGAACGTCCTGAGTTGGAAGGGACCCACAAGGATCATCCAGTCCAACCCTTAGCCCTGCACAGGCCCATCCCCAAGAGTCACACCCTGTGCCCCAGAGGATCATCCAAACCCTCCTGGAGCTCTGGCAGCCTTGGTGCTGTGCCCACTGCCCTGGGGAGCCTGGTCAGTGCCCAACCACCCTGTGGGGGAAGAACCTTTTCCTGAGATCCAACCTAAAGCTACCCTGACACAACTTCAGACCTTAAAAGGCACCAGAGGTTGTGAGGTTGCAATTCAGATATCCAGGAGGAGCCTGTTAATTTTTTAATGCTGTTGTTTAGTTCTCATGGGCACAAACTGCAGGTGCCTAAAGTGTTTGCTTTGGGAAAAGGGCTTAGAAGTGCGTATTGCACGTCAACACATGTTAGTTTTATTTGTTTATTTTTTTAAATGCAAGGGGGAATGTTTCTATCTACAGAAACCATGTTTATTTGAAAGCCTAATGATTCCATCAGGAGAAGTGTGCACGATCAAACTTAAAATCCACAAGAGTCTCGATGACATTTGATTGTGCTGCCCTCACTTTAAAGTCCTCACTTGTCAAGTGAGCAGTCCAGTCTGCCAAGGGGAGACTTGGTGGTTTTGGTTTCCCAGGACCTGTTTTCTGTTTCAAAAAGTGAAGAGGAGGAGAGAGAGGAGAGTGTATCCCTTTGGAAAGGCTTTCATCTGCAGAGTGATTTGCCTGGCTCATCCTTTCCCAGAGAATAATGCCTTTTTAGGATTATTTCAGCATTCATTTCCCAGTGGCAGAACTGAAGATAGCAGACTAATTCCATTGATTGGCCTCTATCTGAGGTATCTAAAATGGGTATTTTAGACAGCAAAAACCCTTAGTATTTTCAGCCTATTTCTCATAGCGAGTGATTGCTTTACTAGTGATTGCTTTACTATTTTCAGCATGTTCACTTAACTCTTGGTCAGTCTTCTGGGGGTTAAAACAAAAATAGTAATTTGTGATGCTGAAGCCAATCACTAGTGGTTATAGATATGTTACTATGACAATTAGGACCATTGCTGCAGAATACTCTGTAGTGCATTTTTTTGGGTTTAAGTAAAGGCTCTTGTTTCCTGGTGTAAAGGATGATCTGACAGTTTATGACGAGCACTGTAGTATAGGGAATACCTGAACCATTGTTAAAGCTCTTGGAAGGGTTTCTGGTTAACAGTGATTTGCACAAGAAGCATGTGGTCCATCAGAAACTCTCAGGCTCCTCTTTAAGGTATTTTACTGCTCTTGTCTTACTTGCTTTCCCTGAAAAAAAACCAACCCATGGCTTTGATGTTTTATAGCTGCATGAAAATACCTTTTTTTCTACTTTTTTTTGATACTACATTTTGTTTCTTCATTGCCTCCCCAAATCCCAGACTGTGTGAGCAAAACTAACACTGTTTCTGGAGTTACCACTTTGCCACTGATCTTGGTACTGCTGAGAGTCCCAGAGTTGTCTTCTTTCTTTGTGCTGTCTCACTGTTAGTGCAAAATCTGGCAAGTGCCCCTCTTCAGCTCTTGCTGGGATGTGCTAGTCATGCTGTTCTTCTTGACCTCCAGATGTTTTGTATTGTACCAAAGTGCCTTTATAGTTTTCTCTCTTAATTTATGACTTTTTAAAATTATTATTATAATGATCGTCATCAATATTTTATCTTGGTTTCTAATTATTATTTCAGCGACATCTGTCTGAGCCTTGTTGTTTTCAAGTCTAGATTCATCCTGAGTGTTGCTGGAATTGTTTTCAAGAAGCCTCAGTGGTGTTTTCAGGCTTGAGACAAAGGGTAGATGATGAAGAGAACAGTGGGGACAATGAAATGAGCTATAGTGAGAGTCAGTGGACATGAGACTGAACTGAAGTATGAACCTAAAATAAAGCAAAATCTGTGAGTGGAGGAGTGAGATTAAAGTAAAACATTGTCTTGAAATGCACAAAGCAAAAAAGATAAATAGGATGCATAAAAAGGCTGGAAAATTCATGTAAAAGGGGGAAATATTTATGCTAGCTATACAAGAACAGTGTGAGATATTATACCAGAAATTTCAGGCTGAAAAAGTAGAAAAAAAAAATCTTACTACAAAGATTTATTGGAGGACCTCGTCAAAGGAATTAAATATGTGTGGGTTCAAGCACCTTCCTAGTCCAGTAATTCTTCAGGAGAGGTGTTTCAATGCACATATTTTTCTGGCCTGATGTGGACCCCTCTGAAGGCTATGGAGCAGTGTCCACTGTGCACAGTGGGCTTTGGGGCCCCTCTGAGCACGTGCTGGAGAAAGCAGCAGAAAAAATAATGTATGGAGAACATTCCTGCCATCAGCAAGAAGATGGCTTAGCTGATTTAATAGCTTTTTCTCAGTCTGTGATTCTATCAGCCAGGTTTGTGATATTTATTTTAGTATTCATGTTCTTGCAGTCCTTTTTACATTCCTCTGTTTTTCCCTGGCAGACATCCCGCAGCTCTATAAGTCTGGGGGAAGAGGATGGTTAGCATGTTGTTGCTGTGGGGATTTGAGTCTTAGCTCTCTGTGTTGGTAATGCCGGGCATATAATTTTAAAACTTGCACACTGTAGAAGCAGATAATTATTTCCCTGCTGCATTTTATACCCTGGTTTGAGAAAGGAATACATTTCAGAATATTAAAGGAAAGGAAAAGTTCCGGTTTGGGGGACTACTGGAAATGGAAGCAGAAAGAGGGGAGTAATGGGTGTCAGTCTGGTTATCAGTCAAGCTGCAAAGAGACAGCTTGTTCTGTCATACCAGGAGTGTCAGTAGTCAGCCAAGCACTTATGCAGGAGGAAAACCATAGACTGAAAGGTAAGGTTCAAAGACATCTGTGTGTGTTTCTGAAATGAGCTGGAATTAAGCTATTGAGTTCTGCTTACTGAGTCTGTGTGTCACATATCTGATTTCTGCTTAGCACAGGCTGTTTGTGTGATTGCTACTTATTTTTATTGCAGGATCTGTCCCCTTCCCTTCCCTTCCCTTCCCTTCCCTTCCCTTCCCTTCCCTTCCCTTCCCTTCCCTTCCCTT